TTGTTCAAATAAATTTATACATATAATCCCTGGCTCAGAAAGAGTGAATTCAATTTTTCACAACCCTTCTTGGATTAACAAGTGACAGAAGATAAGCAAGAATTGTCCCTCAATAGAAAAGTATTCAAGCTTTCTTCTGCTGGAAGGCAACCTTTTATTAAAGACTTCTTTACTTTCCTGCTTCTCCCTAAGTACAAAGCACTGAGTACAGGCCTACAAATCAAATTGAAATTAAAAGAAGATAGCATAAAAACAATTTCTATCAAAATTGTTAATCATTTTAATCATTTTGTTTCATTAGTTTTTGGTTTTGGATTGAAATAGGATTTCAATGTGTATTCCTGGCTGTCCTGGAACTCACTATGTAGATTAGGCTGGTCTTGAACTCACAGAGATGCCCCTGCCTCTGCCTCCCAGCTGCTGGGATTAAAGGTGTGTGTCACGTGCCCAGCTCAAAATGGTAAATCATTTTTACAGGTAGTATAGGCAAATGTATTTTGCTCACACCAACCTTGCAAAAATGTGCTGACTAGAAAAGAAGCCTACAAAATAAATGTATCAGTTTGTGAAAAAATAAGATCCTACAAAATAAATATTCTACCTAGGGAGCCAAAAGCCCACAATATTACAAGGCTTTGTTTGTTTGTTAATAAAAGACATTCAATAGAATAATGGCGAAAGTTGTTAGCACTTAACAGTCATTGCTAAAGACCTCATGGGAAGCTAGTTTCACCAGGTAGGGAGGCAAAACTTTATGCTTGCTAAAGACCACAGGTACACACACCACCTGCCTTTTGTAAAGAAAGAAGGACAATTTAAAATGAAGGCAATCAGGAAACTGAGGATATGTGGCTCAGTTGGTAGAGCAAGTTCCTTGGGTGTGATCTCCGGCATGGCTTAAATTGGGAGTGGTAGCTCAAAAGAGAAGGGAAAGACAGAAGGAACAAAGTCATCCTTGACTATGCAGTGAGTTTGAGGCCAGCCTAGACTATATTAGCCCCTATATAAAAAATTAATACATGAATAAAATTAAAGCAATCAAGTTTAATAAATCATTGAGTAAAACAGCCCATAAGCTTGTAAGCAGACTTTTGAAATTGCCATACAACCACACAATGACCTATTATATAGCTATTACAAGAAAGGAAATACTGATGCGTGTTATCATGGATGAAATTTGAAAGCAGTGTGTTTAGTGATGGAAGCCAGATATAAAAGGCCTTCTTTCATGTGGTTCCATTTACATTAAAATGCCAGAATAGGTAAATTTTTAAAAAGTGGATCGATGATTACCAGAGGCTGAGGAAATAAAGGTGACAACACAGTACAGAAATTTCCATTGGAGGTAATGAAAATGATCTCAAATTGACACTGATGACAGTAGGGCATCTTCATGGGTACTCTAGTGATGGCTGAACAGCTCTGTGAGCACAATGAAACCAGCAAATTGTATACTAACAGATGAATTATATGCTGTGGGTCTTATGTCTCTATAAAAAATTATCTTTGGTGCTATGTTTAAGTTTCATAAAATTCACAGTCATGGAGATGTCTCAGAAGGTAAAGATTCTAGCCAGGCAGTGGTGGCAATATACTTTTAATCCCAGCACTCGGGAGGCAGAAGACAGATGTCTGTGAGTTCAAAGTGAACCTCTGTGAGTTCGAGGCCAGCTTGGTCTACAAAGTGAATTCCAGGAGAGCCAGAACTGTTACACAGAGAAACAATGTCTCAATAAAAATCTTAAAATATATTAAACACAATGATTTTTTATAAAAGTTTAATACAGTTATCACCAAATCTTTCACAACACATAATTTTGATCATCTTTTTCACTAACCATTTTGGGTTTTTTTTCACTTATACAATTACAAGAACAAAGTTTCAAAGACTTTGAAAAGAACTGAAAGGCAGAGAAGCACTAACAGTCATAAAGAGAAAGCTCTTACATTTGTAAAGGAAAGTGCAGGAACAAAAACCTCTTGCAGAAAGGAAGAAAGGCTGTTCACTGGTCTACTTGGTTGTTCAACTTCAAGCTTGCTAAGAAGCACTATGCTTTTCCCAAGCTTTAGACCATCCTTTAAGGAAACGGTATTTTCAATCTTATTCTTCCTTCAGTTAGGAAAGTGTTTTGCTTTATTTGAAAGTGGGACCTGAGACAGGGTCTTGCTTCTGAATATGACTTTAATCCTCCAGCCTCTACCTTCTGAGTGCTGAGATCACAAGCCGGTACCATCCTACCCAACTCTTGGTTTTTATGATGCTGGGCTGGAACACAGGGTCCCATACACGTGGGGCTAGGGCTCTACCACTGAACCCCATTCTCTGCCCCAGAAGATATTCTTACGAATGGCTCTGGATACCAGAGCTCTCCAGGCCCTGCAGCACCTTGCCCTTCCCAGCCGTATTTTTTTCACTTGTTTTGAGGCCCTGGGAAGACAGGATTGCTTCCTGTCCAGCCCCTGCTAGAGCTGCAGAACCCAGCATGGTGCATATGCACAGGACAGGCACTCAAGATACATTTAGTAAATTAAATTATGGGCTCTGGGGTTTGGTTAACATGAAGCTATTCTCACATAATATGATAATCTATGAAACAAGGTCCACAGAAATAATAATTAACCCTGTGGGGATCAGGAAAATCAGCAAATTATCAGCTAGTAAGCCAGGTTCTTCTCTCTCCCTATGCAGGGATTCTTCTACTGGAGGGACAGAAACCTGTTGTTTGTTTGTTTGTTTACTGATTTTTCAAAACAGGGTTTCTCTGTGTAATAGCCCTGGCTGTCCTAGAACTCACTCTGTAGACCAGGCTGGCTAGAGATCTGCCTGCCTCTGCCAGGCTGTTTATTTTTTTAAGTCTTCTAGACTGCCTATCTCCTCCCGTCTTTCTGTCTTTCTCTGTCTCTGTCTCTCTGTCTCTCTCTCTGTCTCGTGTGTGTGCGTGTGTGTGTGTGTGTGTAGGTCAGAGGACAATTTGCGAGATTCAGTTCTCTTCTTCAACTATGTGGGTCTCAGGATCAAGCGTAGGTCATCAAGCTTGGTGGGAAGTGCTTTTGACACTGAGTGATCTCTCCGGACTCCCAGACTTAGGAGACACACAACTATCCTCCTCTCTACAGGAAGTTCAGGAATGGGGAACTAAATAAGGCAAGTCACACAGGAAACCATGAAACAAAAGCCAGATGTGTTGGCACACTTTGAAGTGGGGTCAGACATCAAGGACTTCAAAACCTGCCTCAACTACATTCAGAAATCCAGGCCTACCAGAACTACATAATAATGAAACCCAGTGTAGAGAACAGAATATACCCTACTCTGTGTTATTCCATATTGTATCAACTGGTTTAACAGGCTGTGCACTGTAACTTTACAAGCAAATTTTAACTCCATTTTGAAGAAGCATGACGGTAGCTCCTGGGTGGATCCATAAACTGCATCATTTTTCAGGCTCAAACTATCGAGTACAAACTGATACATGACTTATTCTGGGAAAGAGAGAGAGAGAGACACCATCCTGGAAGTTTATTGAGGAAACTTTAAAGTGTGACGGCATATGGGTGTTATTAAAACCATATTGAGGAGCCAAACCTAAGAATTTAACAGACACATCAGATCATGGAAAGTATAATTCCCTCACCTAGATCTTTATAAATGATGGGTACTGAACACTGCTATGGCATGGCTCCATGTCAGCCTATCATCTGATACCCCGTTTGTTCATCAAAGGCCAAGGACTCCCTGAGTCCACTTGGTACTTCACTGCTGATATTACCTGCTCAACTGTTCACCCATCTAGACCTGAATCACCTCCTGACCCAGTTCCTGCTTTGGTGTCTGCTCTGGACCCAGTGTGACCTTTTCACCATCGGCTTGAATTCTGCAGCTTAGCTCCCAATGCTAACCAACAGCTCACTCTTGGCACAGATCTCTTTCGTTATCTATACAGACTTTCTCAGCCCACTCTGAAACCTCTTCAACTTTGCTGCAGCCTCTTCAGTTTGTATTCCTTACGTAACCCATATATACATATGGAGGTATACAGATATTATTTCCTGTGTGCTATATGATATGAGAATTAATATCACTAATTAAGTTCAGCATAGGGGCATGGAGAGATAGCTCAGCAGTTAAGAGCATTTGTTGCTTGCTCTTGCAGAGGACCCAACAGTTTCCAACACCCATATCAGGCAGGCCACAACCACCTGTAACTCCAGTTCCAAGGGATTTGACACCTTCTTCTGGCTTCCAGGGGCACCGGCACTCACACATGCACATACCCATACACAGAAGTAAAAATCAATCAGCCCAGCAGTAATGGTGCGGACCTCCCAGCACTCAGGAGGAAGAGGCAGGCGGCTCTGGAGTTCAAGGTCATCCTGGTCTACAGAGTGAGTTCCAGGACAGCCAGGGCTGTTACATAGAGAAACCCTGTCTCAGAAAAAAAAATGAATAAAAAATAAATAAAATAAAATCTTAAAAAGACTGAAATAAAATACTTGCATTCACCTCAGCCAAACTACCAAAGTAGGCATAAGTAAATTTTATGACGATTTCTGCCATTGAAACTGCTATACCTTGTTATTCAATAAATACTACCATTGTGGAAATGTACAAATATGTACATTTAGGATTCTGGCTAGCACACACATCACACACTGGCTCAAACACACAAAAAGGAAACAATGAAAGAGGAAGCCATTTTCAATGTAGGTCCATAAACTCAAAAAAAAAAACTTGCATTAGTGCTCTCAAGAGAATTTTTGCAGGGACAGGACAAACATAGTATGGCACAAATTATCATTGATCTCTGGGACACTTTGTACATAACCAATACTCTTCTAAATGAACTTGAATGGGGAGAAAGTAAATTCCTCAAGTGACAGGTCAGCAAGAGCAGGTGACTGGGTGACAGGCTAGCTAGAAAGCTGCGGAAAAGGTTAGTAGGACAGCCATTTGAACCACTCCTAGTGTCGTATACAAATCAAAGCTCTGGGATACTTACTCAGTATGGAATTTTCAGTTGTGAAAACAGTTCGTCTTAATCCCAGTCTCATTGTTCCTCCCAAGTCACCAGGGTTGTGTTCAGGCATGTCGATTACCTTTAACAAAACAAATCCAGCTTTACCATCTTCCAAGGATGTAATTCCCCATATTTTTTGCTTTATTTTTAGAGGAACACTTGTTGAGAAAACATTCCCTTGAGTACTGTGTCTGATCAGGTCTTGCAGAGCTCCTGAGAAAAGCAGCCACCTAATACATCCTTCCCAAATTGTACGTACCTCTCACCACCGTTCTCATCTTCCGCTCAAGTCATTTACAAAACAGTGTATCAGAGAGCTAAGTATATAGTCTGGTTAGTAAAATTCTTGTCTGGCATATGTGAAGCCCTGGGTTTGATCCCTAGAACTCCATAAACAGAATGGTGGCACACACCTGTAATTCCAGTGCTAGGGAGGCAGAGGCTAGAGGACCTCTGTGAGTTCATGGCCAGCTCTGGTCTACAGAGCTAGTTCCAGGCAAGCTAGAGTTACATAGTAAGATACACGAGAGAGAGAGAGAAAGAGAGAGAGAGAGAGAGAGAGAGAGAGAGAGAGAGAGAGGAGGGAAAGAAGAAGGAAAGAAAAAGGAAGAAAGGAGCTGATATCGTTCCACTGGTAGAGCCCTTGCCCAGCATGCACAACGCCCTGGGTTTGATTTCTGGTACCCTATAAAGCAGGCATGGTGGCGAACACCTACAATCCAATCCCAGCACTAGCAAAAAAGAAGCAGGAGGATCAGAAGTTCAAGATCATCTTTGGCTACATAATAAATTCCAAGCCACCCTGGGATACCTGAGACTGCCTCAAAAAAGAAAAAAACAAACAAACAAAGAGAGGAGACCTTGGAAGATAACTCAGATGATTAAAGTGCCTCCCATGCAGGCATGAGGACTTGAGTTAAGATCCCTAGTACCCAATAAAAGTCAGATGAGGTTGCTCACATGTATGTGTATAATCCCAGAGATTTTGTGGCCAACCAGATTATGCAAATCAATTAGCTCAAAGTTCAGTGAGTAACCAACCCTGTCTCAAAAAACTAAGAGAACCTCTGAGAAAGACCCCAGACATCAATCTGTGACCTCCACATGTGTATGCACATGGGTACACACCTGCACAAACACATACATATACCAAACACACACACTCACTCTCCCTCCCCTCCCCTCTCCTCTTCTTTCCTCTCCTCTCCCTGTTCTTGTACATCCTGTGAGTCAAAAATCTAGCAATGCTTCATTTTCTTCATATCCAATCTGCCAAGTCCTATTAGTGAACCCCTCTAGACCACCTTGTTCTAAATGAAACCCTTGTAAACTCTGCGATCGCTGAGTAGCTTAGCTCCCCAGGCTTCTGTCTGTGGCCTTGCACAGGGCTTTTCCTCCTCACCGCCCTTCTCTCAGTTGTCTGCTGCCTGCTTCTGGATGAGAAGGGCAGTTGTTACTTTTCCTTACCAGTGTGCCTTTCCAGACAGTAGAAATAAACTGAAGGAATGACTGAACAAACGAACCCCAAGAAAACAAGTTCAGATTTGTTGAGTCACAGCACAAAAACTTAGAAAGATGTTTAAAAATAAAATCTGTTTTCATTAACCTGGTAATTCCTTTTCCTCAGTTCTGTTTACTATGATTAACTGTTTTGTTTCACGTTTTTTGGTTTGTTTGTTTTTTGGGTTTTTTTTGTTTTTTTGTTTGTTTTTTGTTTGTTTTTTTGAGACAGAGTTTCAATATGTAGTTCTAGCCATCCTGGAACTCACTATACAGAACAGGCTGGCTTGAATTCACAGAAATTGGTCTGCCTTTCCCTCCTGAATGCTGGGATTAAAGGCCTGTGCCACCACGCCCAGCCATGTTTGTTGTTGTTGTTTTAAGATGTTAGATTAGACTGCAGTTGGGTAAGTCAACCTGTTCTAATAAAATTACTCAGGGTTCTCATAGAAGATTGTTTACACTCCCCCCCACCACACCCTAAAAGCCACAGACAGCTTTAAAGGAAATCCTTGACAACTGGAATTTCTTAAACAAAGAATTTCTAGGAAAATACCTGATTTTATTAGTGCCCCAGGAAACGTTTGGAGCCACCTGAACCCTGGGACCCAAGCAAGCTCCAAGAGTCACTGAGGGAAAGGGCTGGGGAAAAATGGATTATACCTCTCATTGAAATGAATGCTTGGTTTCTGAATTTCCCTTAACTCTTAGCCTGGCTTCCCTATCTTCTTTGGCTGGCTAATGGGGGCTAGATTAAGTATTACTGAGTGAAGTGAGAGAAGGCAGCCCCCAGTTTAGGAGGCCAAGAGGCTTATAAACGCTTGTGTGTATTTTCTAAGAAAAGGCAGGTAAGATCACAAGAGCTGCTACAGACTAAGAAGTCCTATGTCTACTCAGAGTCTCAGCTTCCATTTAGGTTCTATTCAAGTTCCTACTATGGTAATAAAGTTCCCTGGGTTCTTGTCAGAGGTGTACTACGATTCTTCAATCAGTTCACCCTTGTTTACTACATAAGGTCCAACTTTGAAGGTAAATTGCTTCCGTTATCAGTGACTATGATAATCAAGGAGTATACTGGTCTGAACTATTGCGAACAAAGTAAAAAAACAAAAAACAAAAAACAACCAAGAACAGGATGCTTGAACGTTGGAGAATAGGTCAGCAATTAAGAGCATGTGTTGGTTACTCTTGCAAAGGACCTGGGTTTGGTTCCCAGCACCCACATGGTAGCTCACAGCCATCCTTGGCTCCGGTTCCAGGAGATATGATGCCTTCTTCTGTCCTCTAAAGGTATCAGGCATGTATGTGGTACACAAGCATACAAGCAGGCAAAACAATCCTACACATAAAATATAAATAACTAAATATTTTTTTTTTTTTGGTTTTAAGACAAAGGGGCTGGGTGGCGGTGATGTACGCCTTTAATCCCAGCAGTCAGGAGGCAGAGGCAGGCAGATCTCTGGGAGTTTGAGGCCAGCCTGGTCTATGGAGCAAGTTCCGAGACAGTCAAGGCTAGACAGTGAAACCTGTCTTGAAAAACCAAAAGAAAAAAGAAAAAGAGCCAGCTGTGGTAGCACACACCTTTACTTCTAGCACTCAGGAGGCAGAGGTAGGCAGATCTTTAAATTCTGGTCACAGCCTGATCTACATAGTGAGTTCCAGGACAATTAAGGCTATAAAGAGAGAGTCTGTCTCAAAAAAAAGAAAGGAAGGAAGGAAGAAAGAAAGAAAGGGAGGAAAGAAGAGAATTAAAAAAACAAGCCTACATAAATGAGAGTCTATCTCTAAATTTTAAAATATTTTAAGAGAAAAAAAGTATAAGGATAGAGAGGGGAGGGAGGGAGGAGGAGGAGGAGGAGGAGGAGGAGAGAGAGAGAGAGAGAGAGAGAGAGAGAGAGAGAAATTTTAAGTTGTCTTTGTGCTCATTTGGTATGAAATTTCTAAATACCCCCAGACCAAAAATCATTTCCCAAACTGAAGTGTAAGGGTGGGGATGGAGAGGAAGCAAATGCATTGGTCATAAAATGGTCCTCCTGCACCAAGGAAATTTGAAAAGAATAATGTGGTAGCAATGATTTAGAAACCTGAGATTAAGGGAGTAGAATTGAGGGTATCAAAGAAAGGGTTGAAGACTGCTGACTTTTTATCACAGACCTTTTAGAACAATTGACTCTGTCCACTGTACAATTTTAATGAAACAAGTTAAAGGCAGAGAGTGAAATGTATTACTGAGGTCTCACGAGGCTACTAGTTCACACTGTCCATGCCATGTTCAGAAATAGTTACTATGGCCTTCTCCTGGAAAAACACATAAAGAAATCCTAAGGCGTAAGAGCCATGGTGATCCTCTAGTTAGGGGCTGGTGAGAAGCCTCAATGAAAAAAAATACTTGCCTAAGGATCTGAGTTCAATTCCCAGAACCCACATGGTGGAAGGAGAAAACCCATTCCCACAAGTTGTCTTCTGACCTATACTGGTGCACTGTGGTACATACACATGAATTTTTAAAATGTCCTAGCTGGAAGAGCTACAATAGTGTCACTTACCTGCAAGAGATACCCACTGGTGCAATAGTGGCACAAATGTTATGAGAGTAACCAATAATTTTTTATTGGACTTACGGCTCACTCCATGATATGGAAACCATACCTGACACTTTTAATGAGGTCAAGAACCTGGGACGAAATAGGTAATAGGGCAGAGGGAAAACATACTATTATTCCACTAAATAAACAGAGTAGCAAAACAACTTTTTAAATTTTTTAAAAATATTTATTAAGTTAGTTTTGGTTTTTCAAGACAGGGTTTCTCTGTGTGGCCCTGGCTGTCCTGGAACTTGCTCTGTTGACGAAGCTGGCCTTGAACTCACAGAGATCTGTCTGCCTCTGCCTCCCCACTGCTGGAATTAAATGTGTGCATCACCACCACCTGGCTACAAAACAACTTCTAATGACATATTGCTATACCCATAGATCAGAGCATCATTCAACCCTCATCCGAGAAGTTTCTTTCTGTAGGTGGTAAATTAATACAGAGACCAACAACTTGTCAATATGCAGAGAGTGAGAGACTTTTTAGCAAAGTGACTTTCAACCTTCCTAACAGTATGAGCCTTTAATAAAGTTCCTCATTTGTGGTAACTCTCCAACCATAAAATTATTTTTGTTGTTATTTCATAACTGTAAGTTTTGCTAGTGTTATGAGTTGTAATGTATATCTGTGTTTTCCAGTGATCTTAGGTGATCCCTATGAAAGGCTTGTTTGACACCCAAAGAGGTCATGACCCACAGGCTGAGAATCATTGTTGCAGCACTTAGCCCAAATGGGATGCTTTTATCATGCGCCTCCTGTCGACCCTCAAAGAACTATGGAGAAGAAGAGGCAGAAAGAGTGTAAGAGCCAAAAGGTGGTGGACAACTGCAAGGAAACAGAATTTTCCAGGCGCAACAGAGCTGATGCACATAAGAACTCACAGGGACTGTGACAGCATGCACAAGACCTGCACGAATTCAAGTCAGATAAAACCCCAGCCTGGAGAAGGGTAAGTGGACACAAAGTCCCATCCCTAACCAAGAAGCT